GATGTGCTGCACACCCGGGACATCGACGCGCATAGCTCTTCGGCCCTATCATCCACGCCCAGAGAGGTGTCCGCGGGAGACCAGGTTTCCACCAAGGCGGCTTCTTTCAACAGGTCTCTGTTGAGTCGCCTCACTACCCACCGAGGAGTATCCCGATGAGGCGACTGCGCCCCCTGATGGACTGGGGCCGATGTCGAGTCCGATATTTGGAAACGGATGTACAGGTGGTCGGAGAGTGTCTCCACACCTTCCACAACCTCCCACCCGTACACCCGTCTCGCCGTCGCTGGGCAAGCGAACGAAATGTCCACCACTGAGTTGCCCTGTGGCCGAACACAGGTGGGCCTTGAGCCTCTGTTGAGGACGGTGAGTCCCGTAGTCAGGGCCCATTCCTCCAGTACTGCGCCCCGAGGGTTAGTGACTACGTCGCCCCAGGCGGAGCTCCTCGCATTGAAGTCACCCATCACCACCACATGACGGGGACCTCTGCGAATGAGTGCTCCAACCTGGTCGAGTAGCGATTCAAAATCTACAAGGCTCCAACTCGGGGCGCAGTACACGCCGACTACTAGGGTCCCTGCTACCGTGGCGCTGACGTATCCGCGGCCCCTTCGAACCCCACCAAAAGACAGAGAACTCGGGGACCGTGGCACGAAGAGCGCGACCACCTCGTCCTTATCGCTCAACCAGGTGTCTCCTTCGGGAGCGAAATAAGGCTCCGACACAACCGCCAACTGTATCGACCATTCGGCCACGCTCTGGACGAGCAGGTCCTGGGCCCGCGCACAATGGTTAATGTTGGCCTGCAGAAGTCGAAGGGCCATTATTTATTGCGGGATTGTCCGTCTCCATTGAGTCCTCGCGTATCGGCTGGTGTGGTGGTACTGGTGGCCGTATGCCTCGGGAGACTTTGGGCGCTGGAGCCGAGCAGCCCCTGCCGCCAAGCCTGTGGTCCGCGGGTTTTTTAGCAGCTGCGCAAATGGTGCAGTGCGGTTTAGCCGTGCAGTCTTTGAATTTGTGACCGTCGACCCCGCACCGGAAGCACTGGTTGCTTCTATCCACCTCTGCAGTGCACTGTGCCCTCACATGACCCTTTTGGAGGCACCGGTAACAGCGTAGCGGGCGAGGTTCGAGCAGCCTGACGGTTGCCGAGGCCCACGACATCAACAGGCGACCCGCTGTGGCCACCCGCTTTGCCGTCGCTACCGGGCACTCGATCCACGCGTGGTAGACTCCAAATCGGTCCCGGACAAATCCCGTGCAGCGGAGACTTTCTTTAGCACAGCCCCCCGCGCCTGCAACAGCGATCAAGACCTCCTCTACCGTTGCCGAGTCGTCGAAACCCGAGACCTTGACCTCCGTTGTTTTGGCTGGCCTGGTGATTCGTACCAGCGCTCCGTCAAATATTTGGGTCAACCTTGCAGCCAACGCGTCAGCCTGAGGCCCATTTCCCTCGCCAATCACCTCGAAGCGCCGAGCTCCCGTGGCACAGATCCGGAAGCGCACCCCGGTGGTGATGCCGACGTCTTGTAGCCTGATCTTTGACTTGGCCTCGGCTATTACGGAGTCGTATGAGAGGCCCTTGGCGATGCCCTCCGGCGTGATAGACACCACCACCGCGGCGGATTTCGGCTCCCGAATCGTGTGCGTCCTGGGCGCTCTCCTCCTCTCAGCATTGGCGTCGGTCCGAACTCGGTTCGCCTTTTTCTTGCCCCCCCTTTGCCCTCTCCTCACGACCTCACTCCAGGGCATCTCAGTGGGCCGCTGCTGCCCTCTGGGTTCCACCGCCGCGTCCTGAGGGACCGCTGAAGGCTCCACCGTCCCGTCCACTGCGGGCCTGCTCAGGACTTGGCCCGTGGCCTTGGTCGGAGCTTGTCCTCTCTTATCTTGGCCAGCGGCCTTCGGTACACGACGACCCGCCGGCTCAGGCCTGCTATCCGACGCAAGTGGGGGGCGGATGCGTTTCTCTGGGAGGAGCCTATCCTCCAGTGCCTCAAACCGCGCATTGACCATCGTGCCCACCTGGCACAAAATGGTCCGGACGAGCTCCTCGTTGTCGCTCCGCGGCGCGGGTTCCGGCCTCTGATGTTGCGCAAGGAGGCACTGTTTCATTTCCGCGACTTCTTTGCGCAGCTGCTCGACCTCTGCTTGGAGGCGGGAATTGGCCGCCTGCAACCCCCGGGTCTCTTCCGTGGTGCACCTATTCTTCAGCGCCTTGGTTGTTTTGATAATTCCCTCGGCAGCGTCCCTAAGGGCCCTCACGTAACCTCCTTTGAGGTTTTTGGATGTGGAAGCCACCTTTTTGATGACTTCCACATTGTCCTCTATGATCTTACTGAGGGTTCCGGCCGCCTGGAAGTCCTCTTCCTCCTCCTCGTCAGATACCATCCTCAGCATCGGGTTGGCACGGGCTTGGGCCTTTGCTGCGAGCGAAGCGGCAACCACCTCTGCCTCTTCGCGAGACTGTCCCTCGTCGCTTTGCTCGGCCTCGATATATAGATGCTTGGCCTTCCCCATGCCAGCGTAGGAGCGCGAGTTCGGCGGTCGGGCTTTCCTCTTTCTGGTGCTCGGACTGGCCCCCCGGCTACTTCCACTCAACAGCATCTCCTCATCGAGCTCCATGCCCGCCACTGCCGCAGGAGCATCTCCCTCTCGGACTGCCTGTCCACTCTCATCCAACATCTCCAAATCGCTTGCAAACTCACTATCCTTATTTCTCGCCATAGTCGTCGTAGGTGCGTAATCAGGGCATTCTTTGGTCCCCCCAGAATACGAGGACCGGCCAGAG